AGAAAAGAAGGCCAGAGGGAACACGCGCTTCCCAAGGAGCTCCACAGGCTTCCCAACAACGCGTCTGCTTCTACTGTGGGAAACTGGGTCATCTACTTTGGAAGTGCAAGCGGATGCCAAACCAAGATATCTGAAAACTATGTTGAGCGGAGGGGCAGCAGGCTGCTTGGCGAGCGAAGGCGACTCTCAAGGGAAACGGAAAGTCCCCCCGCCGCACGCTGGGGCAAAGTGAAGGGGGCTACGCGCGACACAGCCGCAGCTGGCGATACATCTAGGGTCAATTATGCGTCCATACAAGTTCATAATAATGGTGAAAAATCGATAATGGTACTTGGCATTGAATGTGAAATAGATCTGTTATTCAGGGAATCAGCTAAGAAGTGTAATTTGGCTGTTCAGTAATGAGGCAGTCCCTAAGACTCAGCATTGCTGACGGCCTAAAGAATGCTCGGGATGGCAGCGCCATCACAGTGGAAGGCCTCTGCATATCGAAATTGAGCTGTAGCATCATGGTCCGTGGCTCTATGACGGAAATGTGTACCATGACAGAATTCTTCATTTTTTATGGGTGTCCTAATAAAAGGCACGCATGCGGCCAGAGCTGGACGCTGTGGAGGATAGTTGGCTAGAAAGCACCAGGAAGGGGCACCTCCTGGTCTCCCCAGCAACGCTCATTTCATATGCGGTGACATGGGTCAAGTCAGTACATCGACAATGTGTGGCAGCGTTTTCATGCGAGAGGCTTTACGGCAGAGTAAAAAGTGAAGGTTCTGAGCGTGAATATTCTTTTGCTGGCTGCGTAACTAGCTCTACAAAAAAAAAATTGAATACTCTTAGAGCTGAGGAACACCAGGAATGGGCAAATGTTAAGGAGTTCGTTGGGATGTGTTGAAGAATGACGAGGTGCAAGCAGCGATGCATGTGCTGGTTGTATAGCGCACTGTCTTGACTTATTCCCTATCTTATTCTTGAGCTGATTGTTGCCAGATCGGAAGTGCTTACAGCATGAGTAGGAGAGTTAGCGGTAGGCGGATGCTATGCTGGAAAAGTTAAGATGCAGGAGGCAACTAACGCTTTTGGGCGTTTCCCGGTGTCGCTTGCGAAAAAGGCGGAAGGTAGCGCATGTGCATTTCATTTGATAGTCCTGAGCATGCTATCTATCAAACAGAAGAGGTAGATATGATGGGATCTAGGGTGCGAGTAGCTGCCTCCTCTACGCATGTCGAGAATTCACAACTTGTTGCGCATGGCACCGATGTGCCGGGACGCGACCTTGTGTGGCCTCGTATTGAGGTAACAGTACTACGCGATAAATAGGATCCACAAAAAGCCTAGCTGAACAGACAGTTTGCTGCTTTTTTCTCGATGAAATGTAAGTGGTCTGGTGGAAAGTACCGAGGGTTACCACAGCCCACCACCACTTAAGACTTTACGCACTAGTCCACCGGCACAAGGCATGGGGACGCTTCTTTGGTGGAGAATAGCACCAACGGAATGCACTGTGAGGCAACAAGTGTAAGCGCAGTGCCATTCAGCGTGAGCGGAGAGGCCTTCCTGCATGATGTACCGTCGTTGCCCGTCTCTTAGCAAGACCATGATCGCAAGTGTGTGGTAGCGAATAACCCCTTTTCCATGGTTCTTACACACTGAAATTCTCCGAGTTGCATTTATTGAAGTGCTGAATTTTTATATACTTGGGGTTTCCTCAGCAGAACGGATTTGTTTTCGCTGCAGTCGATGGACAACGCCGAGGGCCCCCCAAGACTCGAGTAGCCGACAACGCTGGTCTCGGTGGGACTGAGAGCAGTTGTGTATCATCTCCATCCCCAAGCACTGCGGTTCTTTAGCATATGGCATACACTTTTCTGTGCTCTGTTCTCTTGCACACCAACGGTAAGCCCGTGTGCTCGGCGCTTCGGCGATGGCGCGACACCCCAGAGCCCCTTTTTCTTAAGTTACAACCGACTTGGAGCCGATGGCATTATTCCTTCATCGAGACACTGAGCCGCAGACCGCGAGTCTCGTGTCTTCAAAGCTGCGGCCATTCCATGTTTACGCTCCCCTGTGAGACCACTTGTTGCAGCGCCGTGTTTCTTTCCCTGCTGTTGCCATTCCTGTGGCGTCTCTCGTTGCTCTTACCTGCAGGATAAATGCGACTCTACTGCTTCTATTCTGATGACCGCAATATTGAATGCACAGAAGGAGCTTTTGTCGGGGAGGCGGCAGCGGGAGCTGCACCTGAAAAGCTCCAGTTTGGTGCTGCTGCTGGCTTTGTTGCTCGTGCTTCTGCACCCGCCGAGATTCATGAGCGCGATCGTGGCAGCCGAGGCGGGAGAAGCCCCTCGGATTTCGCCTTTCACTGATGGCGAGGCTGCCTCAGATGACGCCAGTGGCTTTGGCCATCGACCAGCACCAGTCATTGGCGGTACGATGCTGAGGCTTTTGAGTTAGTGGGTGCTGATGCTGCTGTTTTCCTCTTTTGCTTACACTTTCTCTCAGGCTACAATGCGACCGCAAGTGCCAGCTTTTCGTGTCCGAATCCAGAATGCGGGTGGTATTTGGTTTTGCGCATCACAGTGCTCCTTCAACCTGTTGATGAAAACTTGCCTCTCGAAGTCGCCGGGGTGTCTCGGGAGAAGCTCGCAGCAGGCAACACCAGCTATGTCGCTGCCTCTTATTTCAAATATATTGAATCCGCCGGTTGCGTAGTAAGCCCTTTTACCCGCAACAGCCACAAGGGTGCCAGCGTGCTTGTCTCCCTGTTGACGGCTATCGAACACTCCATCCTTCTGTGCAGCTTGTGCTGCGTGCCTCTCCAACTTGTCGGTGATTCGACCCCAGGCTGTCATGCGGAGATAGCCTGCGTGGTTCACAACGATACGAGTTTTCGTTTCAGGCTTTGCCCATTGACTTGGAGTGGAGCGAGCAAGAACATAGGACCATATTCGGGCAGATAAACGGCCTCCTCCTTCCCGGAGGCTCAGCCGATATCAGCCGCTGGGATGCACCGTACATCAGAATTGCAAGACTCTACTATGACATGGCCCTCGAGGTATCTGCCCCAGATTCCTGGCGACAGATTCTAAAAGCACGTTGCTGAATGGTGAACAGCTCAGGCTGATTCAAGCCGATAAGAAGAGTGGCACTCCACCTAGTGTCATGGTTTCCAGCACTTTGTCAAGATACGATACCTATCAAGAGTTTTTATGAATGTACTCTTGCTTCATCGTTTTTGCTAGGGTGTGGAATTGTGCGTTCCTATCAGTCGAATGCGTCCGGGCGGTTCTTTCCGATAGTTGGCATATGCCTAGGCTACGAGGCGCTGGTGGTTGTCGCTAGCGGGAATGTTGGCTACTTCTCGCAGCAGACGGAAGATGATCTGGATAGAAGAAGAGTTCTTACTTTCACTCCCGAAGCAAGCGCTTCAGTGCTTTTCGGCTCAGGGAGCTTCCCCGCCAGCAAGAACAGTGAACAACAAAACAGCATTCAACGTAGCGTGGGTGTTTTGAAGTCACCGGAAGACAGGAGGGGACCTTTGAGAAATCGTGCAATGGAAGGCTCCATGGAGGACGAGGGAAAAACTGATGAGGGAAGCGATGAACTTCTGGGGCATATAGATCCACAGCAGGAAGAGCACGACCTGGCAGCCTTACGCAGCAGTTTCTCAGTTAAGGCTGTAAGACACCTGTTAGCATCTCACCCAATAGCTTACTTTCATCACTACAGGAATCTATCTGTGAAAGAATTTCGTCAGGACGACAAACTTCAACGTGAATGGCTTTTAACTGCGACCGCGAAACTCCCCAGGGAGAGCACAGCGGAAATTGTCGCCGCTATCGAGCACAAACAGTAAGAGCAAAGTAGTGACAACCCAGCTTCCTATGATCCCTGGTTTATGTATGTCAACTCATGAATGACATTCCCCTTTCCTGCGGCCACCCAAAGGATCTTGAAGAGACCTTTGAGTGGATATTTGAGGGAAGGCGCTTCTACTGGTTTAAAAATTCGGATGTGCACAGCTAAAACCACAGTCTTTTGTTCAATGCGTTACTAGCCCCAAGACAAAAAGTCTTAGATGGTTTTTCTCGTTGTTCGTTCATGTGCTTGTTTGCTGCTTGATACGAGGTATCAGTTGCGGCACTTTTTCCAGTCCTCCACACACACTGTGCCCTGAAATTTTTTGCTGAGTTCCTTATTTCCCAAGCTTTTCTCCCTCATGAATCATCTGTGTTGATTGTCTGCGGGTTTCATAGTAGTGATGCTTCGATATGCGTGATTTATTTGGCTTCAGGTTTCCATTCTATGGCTTCCAGTTTCATCCGGAAAAAGCTCTCTACGAGCACTGTCCCAAAAGCCGTATTCCCCATTTCTTTAGCGCTCTTCTACCCTCGTTGTACATTTCCGCGTTCTTGGGTTTAATTGCGCGTCATTCTCGTAATGAATTTAAGGATCAACGAGAGAGGTTTGACAAGATAGAATTTGCATTCACGCCGACCAGGACAGCGGTGTACGGGCAGATCTATTCTTTCGAACAGGCCTATATTTTTCCATCAGGAGTAAAGAAAGACATTCGTGAACGATTGCAAACCTTCCTGGAAGCACAGAGCAAACAAATGGGAGAACTGCAAGGGCACCAACAGAATACTTCAACTCTGATGGCGTCGATTCACGAGGCATAATTTTGGTAAACACGCGCGCATTCAAGCATCCGGACAAAACAGATGACCCTGTGTAAGCAAATACCATATTGGCTTGCCAGTAGGAGAACGTGAAAATAATATGATCCTGTGCCCGCACGTATCTTTTTCCCTATGGATTGGTGCCTATGAGATGCGTATTTCCCCGTTCGCATGTTGACCCCTACGAAGTGGACCGGGGAAAATGTAAAAAAGCAAGTCATTACTGAGATATGGGTGCGGATGGCCCTTCAGTCATGTCGCGCTTGTGGCTCTATGCATGCCTGCAAGCGAAAATGCTAGTATCTCAACGAAGCAACTTGCCGTCTTGCGCTTTCTCAAAGCACAACTTGAGCAAATTCTGGCTCAAAAAAAGATGCGCGCACTCTAGAGAACAGCAAAATACGAAAACTGGCACCGACGGATTACAAGTAAGAAGGCCGCCATGGATGCTCTCTGTGAAAGGCTGGCGCTGACAGATTGCATCTAAGGGTTCAACATGGGCACTCGCTATGTGAACTAACGTGTGCTGTTGTTCTTATCCATCTGATGTTGCTCGCGTCAGTTTCTACCAGAACAAAGATGCTAATGTTTCCCGTATAGTAGCATCTGCACGCCCTAACGCAGGATTGGCTCGACTGCGCAACATCAATTGAGCAATATGGAACAGGGGAGGAGATGTGAAAGTAAATCAACATGCCGGATCGGATGGAGGGCGAGTACACAATGTACCGCCGTCCCTCCGATCCCTTTGCCTTTATTCTCTCTTTGACTGTTTTCAATGGAGTAGCTGCACATCCACAGAATCGCTACTGCAAGAAGGCGTATACCCGATAATTTCACATCAAGCCTTGAACGCCCCATCGTTTTCGCTACTTTAGTATTTTTTCAGCAGACTGCAACATTACAGCACTCCTCGCTGTTGCTGTCTGCCACAAACATGCCAAGTCGTCAAACTACCCTCTCTTCATTGCGCCTGTCTCGCTTTGTCTGCCGTCCTAGTCTACGCGCACAGGAACGTTCAACTATACTGATTGGGGTGGCGTGCCTGGGGGGGGTACAAAGGGCAGTGTTTGGTATGACGGATGCGGATGACATTGTTGCTCCGCATCCTTATAAGGCTGACCGAGGTGCTGCTGGTCCAAGCGTCGCTGCTGCTCAAGCTGCTGCTGTTGGAGCAATTGCTGTTGCTGCTGCATATGCTGCTGTTGCTGCCGCATTTGCTGCTGCATTTGCTGCTGCTGCTGCACCAATTGCTGCTGCACTCCCACAGGCCAGCCGGCAGCCAGAGCCTGGGATCCAAAAGGGGAGTATCCGGGCAGCGCATGCAACGCGCTTCTGGCAATAGACAGCAACGGGTGCTGTTGGTGCTGCGCGCTGTACATCTCAGCTTGCTGCTGCAGCGCCTGCAACACTGCACGCCCCTGATCCGACGCTTGGAATAGTGAACCGGATCCATGTTGCAGTGCTGCTGCTCGCGCGCTTGCCGCTTGCAAGTGCAGCAAGAGCTGCTGCTGCTGCAGCTGCTGCTGTGGCAGCGGCTGGCTAAAGTGGGATCGTTTTGCCATGGGAGAAGGGGGGAGTGGGGTTTGCACCGAGGCGCTCTGAGCCGGTTGGTGCTGCTGCTGCTGCACAGAGTGCGATGGCGGGTGCAGTCCAGCCAGCTGTGCGCATTCGTGCGCGAGTGCAGATGCAGCAACTGCAATTTCCTTCAGTTTTGCTCCCACCGGCTCATTGCTGCCGCTGCTGCTGCCGAAGCGCTCTTCCTCAAGCAGCCTCTGTTGCTGCTGCTCCAATTCGTCCCTAGCCATTCTTGCCGCTGCTGCTGCTTCCTGATCCACCTGGTCCGCCATCTTTGCTTGCCTCATCAGCTGCTGCAGCTGCTGCTGCAGCTTGTGCTGCACCCGTTCACTTGGCCTCCGTTCCCCAAGAGTCTCGACCTCTTCATCGGGTGTATGCTGCTGCTGCAGCCGGTGCAGCAGCTCGCTGCAGCAGAGATAGAGCTGGCTGCGCGCTTCCTCGGCAGCCTCCCGCGCATGCTTTACCCTCCTCTCAGCCGCAACTGCACGATGTCGCAAAGCAGCAAGAGGGTCGCCTGCAGACTCGCGTCGTGCTGCAAGGGAGCCACGCTGCTGCTGCTGCTGCTGCTGCTGTTCAAACAGCGCTGCTGGCGTGTCTGGGGGTGCTGCAGCTGCTCCCCACGCAGGCGATTCGGGTGTACCTTTGGATTTGAGCCTTTGAGGCCTTCCACGCGCCGATCTCCTTTGGTGGAGCTGATGCAGCTGCTGAACTCCCTCTTCCGCCTCCTCATCGCTCATGAGAACGTTGTGCTGCGCAATCCTGCCTCGCCTGCGCTGCCCTGCGCGTCTTCCCCCCGTTGGCTCCATCTGCACTGACAGCTGCTGCGGTTGCCTCTGCTGCTGCGCTTGGTATTCGAGGAGCATCTCTATGTCTTCGGGGGCAGAAGACATCCACTTGGGAGGCTGCTGGGGGGGGAGAAGGCTGTCGGCGTCGATATGCATCTCCCGCCTGGCCCTGTAGAGGACCCTAAGAAAGTCGGAGTGCATCTCTCCGTAAGAAGCGTACGCCACTTCTCTCTTTTGCAGCACGAAAGCCACACTGCGGCTCTCCACACCGCTGCTGATGCCGCTGCTGCTGCTTGTCGTCGTGCTGCCATTGCTGGCGCCAATTCGAACGAGGCGAAGGTACTGGGCGGGAGATTTGGTATTGAAGGTTGCACAGTGGAGAGCCTGAGAAGAAGAAAGACACAGCCGTGGCAGCCGCAGCTGGCGTATAAAACGACACAAAAGACACCCACGTAAAACACACGGCTGCTCAGCGAACCACACCACCGCATTCGCAGCAGAAGAAACACTCCACACAGTGGAGAGCGCTACCAGAAATGCAGACAGAGATACATTCACACACCGCGCGAGCAGCAACACGGACGGAGGCAGGGCTCTTCGCCGCAACAGAAACAGACGCCCACGGCAGCACTGCAAAAGCACCCTACACGGTGCATGCATGTAGCCTATATATATAGCTGCATGATGCTCAGAAAAACAGCGGCGCGCGTGGCTGCAGCTCCTTCTTGCCTTGAAAATCGTGAGGATATGAATATCGAGCTTTTCCCTCGGTTCGACAAAAACCAGAAAGCCTCCAGCTACCCCTAAGGGTCCTGAGAGGCCACCAGGTGCAGCGGGAGGTGGAGCAGCTCGATGAATGTTGTTTTCTGTCGAACTTCCTGCTCCCACCATTCGAGCCGAGGCGACTGGACGGGCTGCTTCCTCCTTGTTCTGCGGCTCGAAAGAGGAGACAAACTTTTGCGCCGCCGCTCGCTGCTCGTGCTGCGCCTCCGTGGGAGAAGGCTGCTTGACACACCCGCCACGTGCGTCGCCAGCATCTGCTGCGGGAGGCGCAGCAGCAGGCTGCTGCAGCAAGAGACTGAGGCTGTCGAACCAGTGCACAAGGACGCGTGGGATCCGCAGATCATCCTTCCAGTCAAGAGAACCCGTCAGAGGTAGCAAGCAGCAAAAGGAGTCGAGCGTGCTCTTCAAGACGACGTATTTTCCGCACCCCACGAAGCCTGCTTCCGCCGCTCCTGCAGAGGCCGCTGCTCCGGCGCAGGGAGACGCCGGAGACACTTCCTCCCCGAGAATTTCGGAGTCTGACTTCGAGCCGCCTTGCCGCTGCTCCATCCGCTGCTGCTGCTGCCTCTGAAGAAGTCTGACAGGAAGGCTCGGATGCGTGTACGCAAACACGGGGGCAGCCAGGAACCTCAAGCTGCCGTTGTTGCCGCCTCTACTCCCCCCCCCGCTGCCAGGAGCACCACTGGGAACGCCTTCCAGCTCTCGCTCTTCGCTTCCGCAGTCGAAATACTTCGTACCATGCTCCATCCTGAGAAACTCAAGCCTCCCCACGTCGTGAAGATACTTCAACACGGCAAGCATGTCTCCGCCGCTGCCATACACAGCCTTCACTGCACAAGGCGGCGGAGAGGCGCCCCTTAAGACGTCGGCTGCGGCAAGGAGGCGTTCTCCTCCCGCTGAAAAAGGCCGCAAAACGCTGTCTGCTGCATCGCACTCTGCCGCTCCTCGCGCTTCCCTCGACAGCGGGGAGGAGGCGCTTGCAAGGCAGCCTTTTTCCGTCCTAGGCTCGACCCTTGAGTGGCTTTCCAGCGCGGCGACTTCCGCCTCCGCTGCCTCTTCCTTAGTCGCCTCCCAAAGAGGCCATGGGCTGTTGCCTGTTCCTCCTATTGCGGAGAGGGCGGCTTCGCTGCAGCACTCGAGCAAAAGAAAGCGGCCGCTGTCTGTCGCTGCGACGCAGCAGAAGCAGCTGCCACACCTGTTGCTCGCCCCCGCCCCCTCGCTGCAGCAGCAGCAAGAGGGAGGGGAGGCTGCGCTGCTCTGAAACCGACTCTCCAGACACTCGACGAAAAGATGAGGCGCGAGAGGTCGACTCCCGTGACCAACCTCCACGCATATTTGTTGCTGCTGCAAAGAGAAACCAGGAATGACTCGCAGCAGCAGCGCGGCTCCTGCAGCTGGCGAAAAGGAGTTGAAAGCAACAAGACGGTCTTGGTGAGACTCGTAGAACTGCTTCCACTTCTGCGCATGCGTCTCAGCGGTTACGGGAACCAGACTCTTGCTGCTGCTGGGTGAACTCCGCCCTTGTTGGTGCTGCTGCTGCTGTTGCTGCAGATTTCCTGCTTCTGAATAAATCGACACTTCCAGCGAAGGATCCGATCCCCCCGCATGCAGAAGGCTGTAATTTCTTACTCGGCGGCACTTGCGCTGCGAGCGACTGCGACCTACGCCTTCTTCTGCCAGCGCTGAAGCGGCTGCACCCCCCCCTGCTGTGTCAGCCTCCTCCTCGTCTTCCTCCTCCTCAGCTCCTGCTACGGGGGTGTGGCTTGGACCTCTCCCGCCTTCCCCCCCCCTGTCGCTGCCGTCGTCGCTGCTCCCCCTCCTGCGACGGCGGGAACGCTTGGTCGCTGCTGCCGCTGGGGTGGCTGCAGCAGCGGCAGTCGCAGTCGCGGGGACGGGAGTCTCATCAGCATCCGCTGCTGCGGGCGATGCGACTCCCACCAAAGACTGTCTGGCGCTGCTGCGCCTCTTTTTCCTGTCCTGGTGCGATCTGGGAAGCCTCCGTTCCGTTGGACTGCCGGCTCCCTTAGGCGACGCCTCACACACGCTGCTGCGATAGCTGCTACTCAACCCGCTCGCGACTTCGTCGTCTGTGTCGCTACTGCTGCTCGGAGTAGCAGAATCCGAGTTGCCCGTGCTGCCTGCTGTAACGGCTGCAGGGTGGGCCTGTAAGGGGGGCCCCTCCCCGCTGCGACTAAGGGCCCCCCGAAAACTCCATGGACGGGGAGCAGACTTCGCCGCTGCTGCCAGTTTCCTCGCAGGTGTCTCCCGAGCTCCTCCTCCGAGTGCAGCAGCATTCTCTGCTGCTCCGGCAGCAGCGAGTGGTGCTGCTTCTGCTGCGCTGTCGAGCATGTTGGTTCCGGATGCAACGCTGCTGTACTTTCGGGGGGCCCCCAGGGGCCCCCAGAGGCAGGCGGGAGGCAGCAAAGGCTTTTGCACTGGCCCTGACTTAGGACCTGAGACTAGGAAATGAGAGAACGTTCACGAATATGAAAGAAAATACTACTTGCAAAACACGCAGAACTGGCGGCGGGCTGACCCCCTGGCAGGCAGAATTTGCTGCTGCTGCATAGGCTGCTTCTGGGTTTGGTGCGGTGCAGCAGCATGGCCTGTCTGCGGCCTTATCCAGCCGTTTTTTTCGCCTAATTCGGCTTGCATAAATTAAAATAAGCGATAATCGGCTGCAAAAGGGCAAATGACTGCACGCGGAGTCCTCGCGAAGCGCGCACTGGACGACTACGGGGTATCCGTCTGTGGTGCTGTGCGGCGTGTGCTCCGTCTGTTTCTTTCGTATTCAGGTCTATGCGCAACTCCTGTAATTCGATGCACTGATTATGCCTAAGAAAAAAGCAAATGGCGGATGTGCATGAGGCGCATAATCACCTCGTTACTACACCCGGTCACCCCTTCTGAAGCACCTCTGTGCGCTGTAGGCTGTCTGCACACACACCTTGGAAGAGTGCACGCGGCGTTTTTAACTGGCACGATCAAGCTTTCGCTGTCTTGTAGCGCTCCGAATAGTTTGGATTGAAAGGCAAACGCGCCATCTGATCGCGCCATAAGCGGCTACGGGTCGTCCCCTCGTGCCGTGCAGCAAACCAGAGACGCCTCAAGCTCTAAATCACTGCATCGATGACACTGGCAGGGGTGTAATTACTGACTTGATAGAGGAGGCAAGGAACGCATTGGGCTAGGGCGCATCTGAAAGCTATCCACTCTGCTTGCTATGTTCAATGAAAAACTGAAATTGGAGTGTGCCCAACTTAAAAGTTCTTACACCCGAATTATTGCCCCCAGTGGCATGGGCTCAGTTCACCCTCCGGAGATCTAAAATGAATATGCTACACTGAGTAGCACAGCGCAATGCGGTACAGCTGTTCTCCGCTGCCATTGACTGTGGAGTAGCGGGATGGCAGGCATGTCTACTACATTTGATTGGCTTCGACCATACAGTTTGCCCATTCAGTATTCCATTTTTCGCTGGCTGAGGGATGAGAGAAAAAGACCTTTGGTGGTGGATGCAAACCGTGGCACGACGCCTAAGGGAAGCAGAGGCTAGTCTGCAAGCCGATGTGAACAGTCTCTCCACAGCTGGTAGAAAGGCATGGCTTGTTAGCCAGTAAGGAGTTCACGGTTGCGTCAATGATGGTATGTTGACAAGAAAAAGGATAATCATATGTATGGGCAAGTATATGAAGATCTAACTA